GGGATCAAGCAGGGAATCTGCTTCCCCTCTTCCTTCCCCTCTATTCCTCCCCCTGCTCGCACACACTCTCTGTCTCTCTAAAATAAATGAACCTAAAAAAAAAAAAAGTCAGGTTTATTTCTTAATTCTGGGAAATGTGACCCACACTGATCCTCTTGGAGGCACTAGATGCGGTATCAGAAAATGCCATCTGGTAGGCAAGATGATGTTTGTTTTGGAATTAGAATTGTCCTTAAATGCCAAGATCAACTTGGGCAATGGCAATTTCTATTCTTCATTGTTTTCTTTCTTTCTTTGCCAAACCCATTTCCACTGAATGATTTCCTTACCTTCTTTTTCACTTTGAGGAAAGCCTCCTTCTATAAACCACGTGAGATTTGCTGTGGGAAATACATTCCTCTGGGAGCAGGTAAATGTTCTCTGGGGGTGAAGGCAGAACATAGAAAGGCTTATTTGCAAATTCAGAAGAAACTGGTACCCCTTACATCCCCACCAACTGTCACATGAGGCAAATTGGCAGGAAACAATTTTCTCCACTTTCAACAAAGCTGTGTTTACCTTTCAGAGGTTATGTGAAAATGTGAGCTACAAATAGGCTGTCTCCTACAGAGATGTCATGATTTCATGGCTGGAATTATAGGTTAACTTATGAAGAATCTAGGCCTAGACTAATGTTGCAAGTCTGGATTCTGGGTTCTGGAGAAGGGAGATCATAATTCTATATAGGAAGAATAAAATAATACTAAATGGAAGCCAAAGACTAGAAAAATGGAAGAAGCTCTAACAGGCAGAGGCCAGAAAAGAATATTCTGTTATACTAAAAGCTAAAAGATATATGCATTTTGGTTGTTTCTACTCCCAAAATAATGTAAAGTACTATTTATAGCAACAACCACAGAAACCATTATTTTAAATATCTCACTTTTGACTTGTAGAGAATTTATGTAATGATTTTTCATTTTATCATCTTAAAAATCCCATAGGGCAGATAGGAAGGACATGCTTTATCATTGCCATTTGACAGATGGGGAAACCAAGGCACCCAATCACAAGGATGGTGAAGGGAGTGGAATGTAGGGGATGGCACAATTGGGAACTCTGTTACTCCAGTCCCAGTCCAAGATATTTCCTGGTAAAACACATCGTACTGAAACATGAAAGAGATGGAACAGGTAGCTTATGTTACAAAACCAGGAAGCTTAGAGGTAGGGTCAGTTATGTTTTATTTCCAACACCGTATTTGCTCTTTTTGAGATGATAGTTTATTTCAACAGCCTGATGAAAATATCCAATAAGACTTATTGGATCCTCATTATTTTATCTGAGACACTGCAAAATTATAATCCCATCCATAGTTATTTGTTTTCTCATCAAGAGATATATGTATTTTACATATAACCAGCTCTGGTTCTTAGTTCTCAAATATTTTCCACAATGGATGGATTCACTAGTTAGCTAGTAAAGAACAATGAACTATATGTAATACTTGGTGTGCCAATTTCCCCACAGACTAGTTATACCCAAAGAGTTTGGTCCTGAGCAGAGTTGAGAAACCAAATTTAAGGATGCTAAAGTAGCATCTTTCTGGTGAGGTCCTACCGAGGTGCAGTTTAGCACCCTTCCATACATCCCTACAAAAAGCCCAAGGAAATCATGAGACTTTCGGAGGAGACTATCTGTGGAATCCAAAACGGTAAGTAGCGAACACTGCAGCTGCCAGGTTTTCCACTCATTCCACACTTGACAATGGGGACACGTGCATGCGTCAGCAATGCAGATCCATGACATTATGTCACTTTTTGTCCTGGAAAATCAAAAGTAAAACCAGGTCCCCTAAAATATATTCTTATTTAGTAAAGAAAAGAGAGTTCAATTTATTTAATCCAATAAAATGCCAAAGACTGATGTTTATCTTTAGGTGGTCCAGGAAGGGATGTAAGAGTTACAGGAAATGAAATGTTAATAAAAAAAAAAGTGGTAAAGGTTTTTATTAATGTCAACACCTTTAATCACTCTCATGACTCATTTTCTCCATGCTCAGTTAACCCACCATAAGATGATGATATGGTAATATCAGGAATAAGTAGGGGTTCCATTATTTTATAAAGGCAACACGCTTCCTGAAGAAATCTCTTGCCAACTAAAAAAAATATTAAAAAGCTTTAACTCTGTGGATTCTCTGAATTCAGATTTTATGGCGTGAGTCAGATCTCAAATACTCTCTACCACCTCCAGACTGTGTTCTAAGATTTTTGTTTCAGAATGTGGTTCTCGTCCTGAACTCCTCCCTCCCAGTCTCTCTAAAATTGAAAAGCCACAGACTTAACTAGTTCAAACTGAAGTTAAACCTCTTATGAAACATCAAGTTTATAGGGTTTTGCTGAGCAAGCAGAGCTACTGCTGTTTGGGAACTTCCAAATGAGTAAGAGGAAAAACATGTTAAATTAAAAAATACATATATGGAGTAAATATGGACAAGAGTCTCTGTGTACACACCCACGAGTGTACACACACACACACACATCCCTCTGTTGAGAAGTTAAAATCACTCACTCACTTAATGTGTGGCTGTTGCATTCATGAGACAAGCCAAAGAACTGGTTTCTCCAACACACATTGTTCTAAGTATACACGGAATATATGCGCAATAGCACAAAGAATGATGTAAGTGGCAAAGAGTATTTGGGCAGTTCTGTAGGAGCACAGAGAAGGGTGAACTCTGGGAATAACTTAGTGAATGGAGTTATATTTTGCAGACAGGGAAGACATGGGCCTGGACTCCACAGGTGGCCTGTGGTGGAAAATAGTGGAGAATTCACAAAGATGGATAGACAGAAAGGGTTCATAGGCTGACATGTGAGTTGGGCATGTTGTCCTGGCAGCAGAGGGAAGCCAGCAGGAGGTTGGAGCATGATGAGTTTGAGGAGTCAAGAAAACTGAGTCCACATCTGGCTGTAAGAATGATCATTTCCTTTTTTCCGCAGATGAAATACTGAAATGCTGACCATTCGTAAATTAGCCCAGATTCAGGTTGCCTAAGTTTAGGCAGAACCTTTTCATAAGGGCTTTCCATAGCATCATTTAAAAAAAACATTTAGCTTTTTAGTTTAGAAAGAGGAAACTTTTTTTTTTAAAGTTCCCCTATTTGTTTATCAACTCTTCATTTCGATTTGGAGTCTTTCCTCCTCTCAACCTTCTTTCTTCACTTGAAATTTATCTTTCAGTCTGTTTTCTACTCTGTCATTTCTACCTTTTCTTCTATAACTCAAGCATTTTTCTTCCACAGACACCTTCTTCAAAATGTTCCTGTCTCCTCTTGGTAGGTTCTCCTTCCTAAATATACATATATATAAATATAGTATTTATGTAAATATAAAATTTTTGCTTAAACTGTGACTATTCTTTTATCTCACTCCAACTGAGAATACAAGCCAATAGCGATTGAGCTTTTCCAATTCCAGTTACATAATATTGGGAGGTTTCCTCTCACTTAATCTTCCCTTTTCTGCAAGTTCTTTGGTTTTTCCACTGACTGTATTTACAAAATCCGTAGTTTCCAAACCCAACGTTAAGACTCACGGTCTGACAATTGGACAAGATATTTGAAAGCACAGATGTTGTTGAGGCCTGTGGTTTCTCTGCTGAAATCTCACCCTTTTCTCACCCTTCCATATTTTCCTTTGCTTAAGAGGCCAGATGATGGAGTTATCTGGAAACAGAACTAAGACTTGTAGGTGCTCGACTTAATGTTTTATTACCAGCCCTGTGCCAGGAACGTCTTTATTCGGGGGTGTGGAAGGGGGGCAGAGAGAAAGTTGGCATCTGTGTGTAGGCAGGCAGGGACACACCCACTTGGAAAGGAGGCTTCTCTGGAAGTGGGAGGGAACAGGACTTCAGGGACCTCCTCCTGGGGGCAGGAGTCAGCTACTAGCTACCCACAGCATGCAGGAGCCCTCACCCAGTACCAGAGCCTAAGGCACACCTTCAGAGCCCTGCTTGCTCATAAGTAAGTACCCACTCGGAGGGCTGGGGGTGGGAGTGTTTCCTAACTCTTTGGGGTTGCAAAGCTTGACGAACAAGGCTCTCCATTACTTAAGAAATGAACCCAAAAAGGAGAGAGAGCTGTCAGGCTGTTTTTTACAATGTAATTTAATTGTCCATCTATTTATTTCAATGGGGGTGAATCAGGCAAGCCCCTGGAGTAAGCGGCTATCAGGAAGGTCTTATTGACTTTTGGCTTTGCAGGTGATGGCGCCAGGGAAGGTGCAGGGTAAGCTACTTGCTGAGGACCGTCGGGCGACAAGTCTGTAGAGATGTGCTCCACCTCTTCCTCCTCTGTGCATGCCAGTTCCTCCTGCTGAAAACAGCTAAGCCCGCTGTTTGGAATTCTTAGAATCTCAGCCCTAGAGGAACCTCTGTAGGGCCAAACTGACCTCACACTGGGAACTTTATTACCCAGAGTTTGGACTCTGTTGCGACAGTTCTCAGGAAGTGCAGGTGTCTCCCACCATCAGCGTCCCTCTCTCTCCGGGGCGTGCTTCTCCCTACTCTGAGGAAGGCCAGTGAGGCCCCAGCCCTGGACATCGTGAGCAGCCCGAGGGTGTGGAGCCTCCAAAACCCATCTATAGGCATTTAGGACACAGAAACAGTGGAAGCAGCCAGGAGGGAATCAATAGAAAACCTAAAATTTCCAATGTTCAAAAACTCGGGGTGGTGTTTAATGTAGAGAACACTGAATTCTTTGTGATTCCTGGACTCATTTGCTTTGCCTTTCTGGTCTAGACAAGGAGGGATCAGTACATACCTGAGGCCTGGGGGGAATGTACATGGGAGCCTCAGAGGCCATTCGTGTGGCTCTGACTCACCCTGACTCTCTGTGAAGTGCAAACTTCACACCACTCAGGTGTGGCCAGCCTTTGACCTTGGTTGTGAATCCCCAAGAGCTACCACAGTCCCTTCCCAATTACTCATTTCGCTTTAGCTGTGGTTCAGCTAAGACTTCTGGCTCAAGGAAAGCTGTAGAAGACGACACAAGATGAGGCGGGAAGAGGAGGAAGAGGAGGGAACCAGGATGAAGGGAAAAGGAGACCTAGAGGTGAAGGAGGAAGAGGCAGTCAGTGAGAAGGGAGAACTGGTTGGCCCTTTCGCAAGCGCCATGCCCACCCCTACACCCCACAACAAGGGCACCCGGTCTTCCGAGGTATGGGAGTATTTCCACCTGGCCCCTGTTCGTGCTGGCCACCACCCCAACCAATATGCCACCTGCCGCCTGTGTGGCAGGCAGGTGAGCCGTGGCCCCGGGGTGAACGTGGGCACCACAGCCTTGTGGAAACATCTGAAAAGCATGCATAGAGAGGAGCTGGAGAAGACCGGCCATGGTCAGGTGAGGCAGCACAAGGACCTAAGGCCCCAGGGGCCCCAACTCCCCCTGGGTATCGAGGGCGACTGGGCCCGGCTCCTGGAGCAGGTGGGGGCCCTGGCTCTGTGGGCCAGCCAAAGGGAAAAGGAGGTGCTTAGGCGGGAGAGGGCAGTGGAATGGCGGGAGAGGGCAGTGGAAAGGCGAGAGCGAGCCCTGGAGGCGGTAGAGAGGGCCATCCTGGAGATGAAGTGGAAGCTGAGGGCTGAGAAGGAAGCCTGTCAGAGACAGCAGGAGCAGCTTGCCATGGCTCATCCCTTCCATTTTGTGTAATCAGCCTGGGAGGTATCTATTCTGAAACACAGACTGAGGCTCACAGCAAAGAGCCACGTTAGGATTAATAGAAAGAAAGTATTTGTGTTTTTAAGAGAAAGCATGCATAGTACGAGTTAATCTCAGCAGGTGTCAACTGACCAAACACTTATCTACAGGGTCCCTAAAGCTGTCCTGATCAAAACTTCAAAATGTATTAACTGAAGATAAAGGTTGTTTTGCCACCATGGGTCTGTGAGTTTGGGTGCAGAATGTACCATCCTGCCATGTTGCTGAGTGAAAATAACGGGATTTATGCTTTGCACTTGGTTTTGGTGGAGCTGAGGGTTCTGACAGTTGAGGCTGGTCAGGTGGCTGGAATGTGCCTATGTGACCAGCTCACTCTAAGAGACCCCACCAGGAGTGCAGCTTAGGCTTCCTGGGGCCCAGGCGTTTGCATACATCCTGGTGGTGAGTTGAGAACTGGGTACAGAGCTTGTTCTGTGGGGCCCGGCTGTGGAAGGACACAGAAGCTTGTGCCTGAGATCTCAGGCCCCATCCAGTGCAGGTCTTTCTCTCACTGGTGCTGTGTTGTACCACCTGCTTTTATTAAAGCTGTGTCACCAGCAGAACCTGTCTGAATCCTGTCTTTTCAACAACCTGACACATACGTCATTAATGTGTAATCAGCCAGAGAGAATTAAAGACTTTTCAACTTACTCGGATGAAACATTAAGAACAGAGGATATAGAAACTTATTCATAAATATTTTAAAATATAATCCAATTTCATATTAAGGTCTGTTAAAGACAGAGTTCATGAAGAAGAGATGAGAGAAACTCAGGAAGGAAAAGAGAATGGTAGAGAGATGGGGTGAGGAAGGAGAAATAAAGAACAGAGGCAGAAAACCAAAAGAGAAGAAAAAAGGATAGAGAATCAGTGTGAACACAGGAGAGAGACAGATTCCCATCACCCCCCCCCAAAAAAAAATTTTACCGTGAAAAGATGAGAGACCATGACTGGGAGACTGAAGGACAGAGAACATTTTCCTAGGTTCTGAGGTCAATTTTAACACTTAGGTTGCTTTTGTTTTGTCCTGACAGACTACTCATTCATTTGAGCAGTAGGTTTGGGATTCTATCCTTGTCTTTGATGATGTTGGCTGCATGCCAATTCTTCCCTGTTTGTTTTTTTTTTCAATGTTCATTTTAAAATACTCAGAGATGGGGTGCCTGAGTGGCTCAGATGGTTAAGCGTCTGCCTTCGGCTCAGGTCATGATCCCAAGGTCCTGGGATCGAGCCCTGCATCGGGCTCCTGGCTCAGCAGGGAGCCTGCTTCTCCCTCTCCCTCTGCCTCTCTCTCTGTTCATGCTCTCTCTCTCTCTCTCTCTCTGTGTATCTCTGTGTCTCAAATAAATAAATAAAATCTTTTAAAAAAATAAAATACTCAGAGATGCTTTGAAAAAAGGAAACCTAATAGTCTATAGGGAGAGAACAATTCCCTGGGCTGTTGAAAATATGCCTAATATGTTCACTCAGGAATAGAATAAAACCAACTGGCAAGGACTGTGGCTTTTGTGCTAGAGCTGACTTTTATTTTGAATGATTCCTCTAGAACCTAATGTTTTTTGTTTTTTGTTTTTACTGGGTTGGGGATGGGGTGAGGGGTGGTGGGAGCTGGGGAGACAAGAGCTAACAAACACAGTCTTTCATCGTCTCGTAAATAAGCCCAAGCCCTTTATGGGCATCAACCTTCCAGAAAGCAGACAAGATCCTGGTATAATAATGGCTTCTTGCCTCGCTCCGTCCTTACCTGAGTGTGGCTCCCTCTTAGCACTTGTTCTTAGACTGTCAGCAGCTCTAACAGCCACATCTGTCTTCCCTGTGAGCTGTTTGTGGAACAAGCACAATCCAAACACAAACTTGTGAAAAACCCAGACTATACTGCAGGCTTATAATCTCCCTTTTTTTTCTAGAAAACTGCCTGATATTAGAGATTTCACTTCCCATATGAATTCCCATTTTTAGGGCCCTCTCCAGCTGGGGTGAAAGCTCAGGGACTCACCACTGCAAATGAAGATGGCCACTGGGAGTCCCATGGCTGGACACTGGAAATCAGAGCCTTATTGTGTCATAAGATGGAAGGAAGGAAGGAAGGAAAGAAGGAAGGAAGGAAGGAGAAAAGAAGCTTTAATACCTAATCTTAAACACACACACATACATTTGAAATGGAGTTTAAGAAGGACAAAGAATCCACAAAGTTTCAGGCTTTGCAAAAATCACAATTAAATAAACAGCAACAATGAAAATCTGCAAACAGCCACCAGAGCCATACTGCTGAATGGTAATATGTGGTTTTAGATTATGGTGTCTGCTTCATATGTCTCTTACGATTTTAGCTTCTCTTCATTTTCAGGCACTTTTTTAAAAGATTTATTTATTTATTTACTTTAGAGAGGGAGCATGCATGAGCGTGGGGGAGGGGCAGAGGGAGAGGGAGAGGGAAAGAAGCAGAGCTGAGCTTGGAACCTGACACAGGGCTCAGTCCCAAGACCCTGAGATCATGACCTGAGCTGAAATCAAGAGTCTGAGCCATGCAGGCGCCCCATTTTCAGGCATTTTAACCCCAACTACTTTTGTTTCCTGTGTCATGTTAGGTAGTTCTTTTTATATTTTTTTTCACCTAACTTTTGTCAAACATCATAAACGTGGAGAGTAACAAGAAGAGATCCAGAGAGATGATGGCGTTACATAAAAAGAGGCATCAATAGAGACACGTGGCTCGTGGAAAGACCGAACTATTGGGTACACTCTGGAGTTTTCATGCCTCTCTCTGAAACTTCTTTTGCTGCATCTTCACAGTGGGGTAGCAGGGCCAGGGCTGTGGGCTGATGGCTCTCTAGGCCAGCATCTTTTGTTGGAATACAACGTCTGGTACATGAAGGGAACCTCTGGTTTCAGTAAAGACTCCCTTTCCATCTCAGCTGCAGGGGCAAGGCTGTGCATCATGCTGGGGCCCTGGTGAAGGCTTGCCCTGGAACTCACAAGAATATGACACCCACAGGTATGACACTCTCCTTGGACAACGCTGGCATGTCAAAGCCTGAGAAGCATCATTGTTAGGGTAATTTGGGGGCTTTTCTATTTTTCAGGAAAAGCCAATTAACCATAAACTTCATCGCTTTAGTAATGCTGGAAAACATAACTCATAACTGACCAAATCCCCATTACTTTAACACCAAGGGCTGCTGGTGTAGTGAATATGCAGCACATAGCAGGTATCCAATATGAACATGTTGAATTAGTTAATTTCTAAGGAATGAAGGGGGGTTGGAAATTACCATTAACCAACACTTATGGTTGCCAGATAGTAGATACTTTGCATATGTTCTTTCATTTGATCTTTATATCACTCTTGGGAGTTTGGGATCATTGTCCCTGATGAGGAAGCTAAGGAATCGAGGTCCCAGGGGCCAGAGTTAGTAAGTGATGGAGGAGAATCCAGACCCAGGTCTATTGGATTCCACAATCTATATTCTGTTTTTTCATTATTTCATACTAGCTCCTAAAATCAATCACACAGGAGATTTATGAATATATATTTAGATGAAGGGATGGGTGAAAGAGAATAGGTGAATGATAAATAGTGGGAGGAAAGAAATATTCCCAAGACATCTATTATGTGCAAAGTACTCCATTAGTGTGCAGAAATTTAATTCACCTAAGAATCCTGTGAAATATTAATCTTGATCTCAGTTTTAGATGACTTAGCTGAGATTTGTGGAGGTGAACTAGTGGATGAAGATATGTAGCCAGGAAGTGGTCAAATTAGGATTCGACATTAGTTCTCTCTGCCCCTGAACCATAAGGCTCCTCTCATTACACCATCCTGCCTGGAATCGGGCATGCTAAATTCTCAGCCTTGCTCTGCCCTTTATTAGTGACTCAGTCAGTTGTGTGGACTCTCTGGGCTCCAATTTCTCATATGGAAAATGACTGAAGCCCTACCTTCTTCAGAGATTCAATGAAAGCATGACTCGATAAAAGCATGTGAAAGGACTTTGAAGAGTTAAGAAGCTATTAAAAATACAATGGGGACTCTAAGAATATTAGGGTAAAGAATTACTAATGTTTGGCGAAATCTTAAAAGATCCACAGACAAGCTGTGTCCTGTCACTGGTTATGTAGAGTTGGTGAGAGATTACTCACTAATTCCCCAGGAAGGAAGGTTCTCTGATTTTCCCAGTCAGAGCCTAGGTAAGCAGGGGTACAGGAGAGGAAATTTGATAACGTGTAAGAGAAAGTCCTTTTTCTTTTTAACTGGAATTCTTGGATCCAATCTTAAAGATTTATTCCATATCTGGATTGAATCCTTATTACCTGTAAACACTGGCATAAAGAATTTTCAAGAAATCCTTACAAGAAACAAAAACACCTATCAAACATTGTGCCATTAGTTTGTTTTATTTAAACTATTGAAATGAAATCCACTAATAAAATTGGAATTAACTGTGGAAGAACAAAAATTTTAAATCTTTTTTATATACTCAGGACCACAACAGCAATTATCTAAGAGACTAATACATAAAATCAACGGAAGACACAAGTATATTCTCATCTAAAACCATCCCACAGAGTTTGAGCTATGATTTGTATGTGGCTGTCAAATTAAATGACTGATATGCAGCAGGATCAGAAATCATAAGTTATTTAGTGTTCGTAGGAGTAGAAGAAACTAGAATATGAGTATAATTTCTCTCATCCCATGTAGCAAGAAATGTTTGAGAATTCGTGGGAATATTTATTTTATAACTTGGGATTTTAAAAAGCTTGAATGAAGTCAAAGTGCCCAAAGATAGCTGATTAACACTAACAGTAATAACAGTATAACAACAGTCATAATGTTCATTGAGTGCTTAGTATCTGCCATATTTACACCGAGAACTTTCTGTACCTTATTTCGTTTAATTCTTAAGAACAACAACAATATGCAGATACCCTTCTTATCCTCTTCATAAAGA